GATATAACTCAGCCGTTTTTAGTCTTATTAGGCAAAAATTTGGTATGTCATTAGACATGAGCAAAACACCACATACTTATATGAACAAAAAATATATATATTTTTGCCAAAGTTAAATCAAAAATGGCACAAACTCTCCAATTTTTTTTACATTTTAGGCTCAAAACAGGTGTGGTAGGAGCAAAAAGTGACCAATTCGTACCAGTTTATCTAGTGCCAAGTCACACTCTCATGGACAGAAACTGGAAGTTGGTTCCACAAGAGATGAGTCTGATAACTGAAAGATCTTCCTCCCATTCTGCTTTTAGAAACTCTAGGAACCACAAATAAACCTGCAGTCTGATAGCAAAATGCTCTGTTTGGAAAATATGGAATCAAAAGATCTGGAAGATAAGATGGAGCTAGGTTGTTAAGAGCTTTGTAGGTTAGAAGTAAGATTTTAAATTTTATTCTGAAAGTGACAATGAGTCAGTGGAGAGAAGCTAAAACTGGAGAGATATGACCTCTCCTTTTCACTCCCATCAGAACGCTAACAGCAGTATGTTGGATCAACTGAAAACTTTTAAATAATTTTTTGGACACCCAGAAAATAAAGAATTGTCCAGTCTAGGAGTGATAAATGCGCAGTGGGACAAGGTATTTCTGATTATAGTAACGCTGTTGAAGTGGTCCTGGTAACCGTTTTAATGTTAAGAGTTAAAAGGACACATCCTGATTACCAAGGTTCTTCACATTTGAACAGGAGTCCAAAATAATAACATCCAAAAGAAGTGAAAGGCTGCAAAGTTTGTTCCAGAGATGCTTAGGTCCAAAAACAAAAACTCTATCTTGTCTGAGTAGAAAACTAAAAGTCATCCAGGTTTATATGTCTTTAAAGGCATGTTTGTAATAAGTAACTGATTGGATTCATCAGGTTTCATGGATTTTGATGTGACAACCCAGTTTTCAGAAGGAAACTTTCAGCACACCAAAATGGAAATGGGTATTTCTCTTAGTTTTCAAGTTATTCTGCTCACAACACAGACAAACAGGTGGATAGTGGGACAGAGGGTATTTCCAATTACCTATAGCTGCATAATGGGGGACAAGCGTGGGTTCTGTTCCAGCCAAGGAATACTGGATCTAGAGTCTTCAAGTGGGCATGGGAGCTCGCCCAACCAGTCTACTTGTGTTTTGTGCACTTAAAGAAGACATTGAACTGTTCTCTGAGGTACGCTGTGGGAGGTGCCTCATGAGTGTGAGATTGGGGGGTCTATTGTCACAAGCCATTCAGTCTCTATACAAAGAGTTTGTAAGTCTGTTTCACATTGACAACAAGTCAGAGCCCTTCAGTGTCAAAGTCCGCCAGACTTGCCCTTTGTCACCAATTCTGTTCATAATTTTTATGGATGGAATACCTCGCTGCAGCCGGGCGGCAGAAGGAGTCTTGTTCGGTCACCTCAGGATGTCATCTCTGCTATATGTGGACGATGTAGTCCTGTTATTTTGCCGCGATGCCCTTCTCTGCAGGAGGACTAGCATTAGCAGGACAGATTCAAAACTTCCAGGCCAAAATTAGCATTAGCAAGGCACAATATCAGCAACAAGCAAAGCAGAATTAACATTACCACGTGCATTTTTCGCATAAAAATGCTAAATTTGAAATCAAAAAGCTTGTTTTCAAAGAGCTGGACGAGGCTCCGTTTTTAATGAGATAAAAACTGACAAAAAGCTCAAAACGTACAAAGCGCACAAATACCACTATTTATAGGAGTATTGTCCTAACTAGTACTACTTACTGATTTAGAAAAATAAATACAATGTAAAATGAGAAAAGTAATGAAAAACGTTGAAGGTGGAGGAAATAAGAAATCAACAACGAAGAGAAACAGAAAAAACAATTCTGTAGATGCTCAGCAGTCACACAATTAAACAATCTGTACTACCTAACAATCATGTCTGCTTATTGTTTTCCCTCTTGAGCAACTTTTTTGTACTGTACGTGAGGAGTGCTCAGTAAAGCGTTTCCTTCCACTCCAACCAAATGTAGTCTGTTAATAGGTGTTACCCCCACAACAGACATGCAAACGGTTCACACCCACGCCACGTGCAGTTAACCTTTGTTTCAGGACCAGGTGGTCCCAAAACTGAAGCTGACAGAAAGCTCTTGGGGTGAAAATCAATAAATAAAACAAGACATAGGCTCACATTGGTTCAAATTAGAATTTACACATGTAAAAAGCACACACATACACACACACACACACACATGTGGTTGAAACTTCACACTTTGTGGCTACAGCGGTGCTTGAATTCCAATTTTCAGCGAAAGGGCGTTTTCAACAGTCGTGGGTGTATTTTTACACCTCAAAGATGTGTATTTTCCAAAAATCTTTTTATTCATTTTATTTTCTAACAGTAATCTCACCATTTTATCCAACTTAATTATCCTGCACCAACTTGTTACACACGTTTGCTTGTATATGCACATGTTTCTTACGCCTCAAGACTGACAAAAGAAGTTGTGTCTGTAAGTAGCTGCTTTAAGGAATGCACGGATATACCTGCCTTATGACAAGACAGATGATGTAGGTCAAGTGTGTCTGGCAGCTATTTGCAGCTTTGCAGCTTCGTTACAACACTGGGAACATCTCAGACGAAGGCACCATTTCCACATGTAAAGGAGACAAATGGGTGTATTGAAAGAAACAAGATACTACTTCATGCACGTTTCATATAAGGAAGAGACATATTGGAAGAAACTGAGCATGAAAAGAGACATCTGCTTTTAGATGCAATAGCTCCTAATTTTAGTCCAGCCCGTTCTTTAATTTTTGATAAATTATACTTATGTGGTGCAATTACTGCCCACTTTGTTGGAAATTTGAAATCTATTATGTTTTCAGTACATGCTCAGCCGCTGATTCTGGTTTTGCTCAAGTTTTGTCAATGTCAATTTATTTATAAAGCACATAAAAACAACAAAAGCTGACCAAAGTGTTTTACAGTTAAGACAGATAAAAAGAATACATCTAGTGCCACTCAAAAACATCCATCCATCCATCCATCCATCCATTATCTTTACCCGTTTGTTCCATTTTGGGTCACGGGGGTCGCTGGTGCCCATGTCCAGCAGTCACTGTGCGAGGGGCGGGGTACACCCTGGACGGGTCGCAAGTCCATCACAGGGACACATAGAGACAAACGAGACAAACAAACATTCACTCTCTCACTCACACCTAGGGACAATTTAGAGTTACCAATCAGCCTAACATGCATGTTTTTGGACTGTGGGAGGAAACCGGAGTACCCGGAGAAAACCCACGCATGCACGGAGAGAACATGCAAACTCCACCCAGAAAGGCCCCTGGACCGGGGTTTGAACCAGGGACCTGCTCGCTGAGAGGCAGCAGCTCTACCAGTTGTGCCACCGTGCTGCCCACTCAAAAACATAAGAAAGTTAAAAATTAAACTACAACAATAAAAATCAGCTCAAAAGTTTGTTCTCTGACTCTGCATGGAGCAAATGCCAAGGAGCACAGACGAGCAAAGATTTAAGTGTTTTGAAGGTAGTTTCTTGGTTATGGAGTCTAGTGTGGTCTACTGGTGCATGCAGAATGACCTCGTATGTTTGTTATGGGTAAAGTTTGTGTTTGAGATTAAAGTAGTTGCAGACTGTGTGCAATTGCATGTGGTTCATGGTTATATGATGCAGGGCATGGTGTGATTATGATGTAACTGTGATCTGGATACCCACAGCAAGAACTACAGCTGTGTGTTGAGATACAGTGGAACCTTTTATCTGCAGGGAGGGGCATCTTTTTTTTTTTTTCGATGTTATGGGAGTTCCTGTTTTTTTTTTTCTTGCTCATTTTCTGAGAAACAGAAAAACTGTAAATGTGGCCCTTCTGAAATAATGGCTTGGTGCCATTGTAAGTGCAAGTCTTGCCACATATCCTTAAAACTATTGAGTCATGCTTATTTACAAAAGATGCACTTCAGACTGAGGGTGGATCTGTTTTGAAACATGCTTTCCTGCAAATATTATCAAGTTATGTTGAGGAATAAGCAATCACACCTGCACAACAATCTGAAAAATGATCTCAGGCCTGAGAAATTATAATTATTATTTTATTTTTTTTAAGAAAATATGTTAACCTCTTTGCATGTATTTAAGTTAATAATAATAATAATAAACGCTGAGTGTCACTGTGTACTGTTTAAATTGTGGGCAGCTGTGAAACCATCACAGCTGCTGTGTTCCTTTACAAAAGCGGTGGAGGAGAAGTGATGGCAATCTGATTATTGTGTATTTGGGTGGAGCATGAGACTCCTCTACTCTCTCCGGCTTACTTCCCCCAACAAAAACGTGCTGCAAAAACCTCAAGTCGGTGACATCGACGCTGTCACACACCATCAGCATCACCACCAGCAGCCCGAGTGAGTACTCTACTGACTTCAACCTGCAGATAGTCGGATTACTTGTAGAAAAACATCATAAAACACAATTAAGACGTGCCATATTATGTTTAAAGTAATTTCTGGAGGATGTTTTATTAAAGAGTTTTTTTTTAAATTAGACATTCATTTTAAAATAAAAAAAAAGAATAGAAAAATGTAACTGATATGTATCTTTTTTGACAATGAGTTATCATAATTCAATAAAAAGAGTATTTTTCCTCATTGCTGTTGCAAACAGCATGTTTCAGCCATGTGGGGGTTTAAATGCCCTCCTGATCACTCATCTTGTGTTAACCACTAGGAGGAGAATGAGGCGCATGAGGGCGATATTTAAATCCTGCCTTTTAAATTGTTTCAACGTCTGAGAGCTGGAGGATGATTTCTATGCATTTAGGTGCCATTTTTAAATTAAATTGAATGAAATCATTCTTTTTTCTTATCTCAGGTGTGTGTTGAGCTCCACTGGTTAGAGTGTGCTGGCAGCCTGTTTGGTCACAGGAGGTCCACACTCATTTCCGTGCAGCTCCGTACCAGCAGTCCTCGATCCTCCAGTCGTCACCATGGACGTCCTCTCCTTCCTCACCTCGCCTTCCTCCTGCCCCCATTTGTACCACAGTGCCTCCACCAACACCACGCCACCAAACGTGAGCACTGCAGGGGTCAGCCATGTGATCCTGAGGCATTACAACTACACGGGCCGCCTGCAGAACAGGACCATATCCAACACCCAGAGCCCCATCAGCGCCTCCACGGCTGTTTTCCTGTTTGTCAGCGTCTTCATCGTTCTGGAGAACCTCCTGGTGCTGGTGGCTGTCCTATCCCGCATTCGCCACAGCCGCCGCTGGGTTTACGTCTGCATCGCCAACATCACACTCAGCGACCTCCTCACCGGTGCTGCCTATGTGGTCAACATCTGCATGTCCGGCAGCCAGACGTTCCGCCTCACCCCGGCTCTCTGGCTCTTCAGAGAGGGCCTGCTGTTTGTCGCCTTGGCAGCCTCCATCTTCAGTTTGCTGCTGATCGCCATGGAGCGATACACCACCATGATGAAGCCGCTGCCCCAAAAGTCAACCACGAAGAGCTACTATCGGATCTATGGCTTGGTGGCGCTTTGCTGGGTTTTGGCGCTGGTGATTGGTTTCCTCCCATTGCTCGGATGGAACTGTGTGTGCAGCCTGGACGGATGCTCCACTCTCCTCCCACTCTACTCCAAGACGTACATCCTTTTCTCCCTGGTTATCTTCTTACTCATCCTCCTGGCTATCGGCGTGCTCTATGGTGCCATCTACAGCCACGTACACAGGAGTGCACAGCTGGGCCCCCAGCGCAGTCGCAAACGCTCCATGAGTCTATTAAAAACTGTGATCACCATCGTGGCCGTGTTCATGATCTGCTGGGGGCCCCTGTTCGTGCTGCTTCTGGTGGATTTTTTCTGTGCTTCCCGGCAGTGCTCGCTGCTGTTCAGCGCTGATTTTTGCATCATGCTGGCTGTGCTCAACTCGGGCCTGAACCCCGTTATCTACGCTCTGGGCAGTAGCGACATGAGGAAGGCCATGGTCGAGCTGCTGTGCTGCTGCCTCTGCCGCCCGCAGAAGTTCATCTCCAAGGAGACGAGCAGCACCTCAGAAAGCAGAAGGGACAGTCTGAGGAACAGTTTTAACAAGGTCAGAAATCTGAGCGTGGCCTCGCCGCCATCAACCCCGAGCAAGCCTCGCAAGCCAACCAGAAAGTGCAGGCTGAGCACCACAACCAGCTGCCTGTCAGTTTCAAGTGGTTAAAACCACAAAGTGCTCCCCTCCCAAGCATACGAGACCTGTGTGCACTGGCACACATCTAACCGTTTCCTTTGAGTTTTGCTATGAATGTTCACTGCACTGATGACATGTTTGAAGAAAAACAGCTTGAGATGAGACTTTATTCTTGAAAATATGAATTTATCTTTGACTTGGCAATATTAATGGGACTTGTTTTGTATTTGTTTCATAAAGGATTGGTTTTATCAATGCTTTTCACACATGCTGTATTTTAAGACTGTATTTTTATTTTTTTATTTGAACATTTGAATAAAATATGTATTTTTAATGGGTTTTGGATGCAGAAAATTATCTTTGAGATTTCGTGTTGTAAATTGTTGTAGGTTTGTATGAAATAAGTGAAAATATTAATAAAATCTATTTTGCACAATAGTTGACTAAACATGTATACTGTATACCTGTATAAACACACACACACTACAAATATATATATATATATTATATTATA